ACCAGTTTTACTCTAATATGAGTCTCTAAGTATACATCTCTAATACCATCAACTTTGGATAACCCATTGTTACCAACCCTTATTGCCCTAAAATCACCATGCGTGTATAAGCTAAAAAACTCCTTATGAGATGTAACATGTACCGAAGTTTCACTATTAACCACCAAACTATACTCATTTGATACTATGCTAACTTCATCGGTATCATATGCAATTAGAAAACCATCGGTTGCATTAGCTTGGTTTTCAGCGAGCATCATTGTCATTCTACTTGGTTTTATTCTTCTTGTTGTCTTTCTTTAATTTTCGATAATATTTCTTGATGTGAGCCATGTCACCATAATGATAGCCTTTACATTTGCAAACTTGCCCATGAACTTGCTTCTACTCTTACCTCTACCTTTTAGACTCTCATTTTTACTCCTTCTCTTTTCTACGAGTAACTAGCACATTAGACTAGGAAGAAAAATTTTGAATCTTCCTTCTAACCTCTTCCTTGAGAACCCCGTGTTTAGCATAAGTCAAGGTCATCTTCCCATTAAAGGTGGAATTGCGGTGTGATGTATGGATTGTCTCCCAAGGATCCCGTAATGAGCTAAGCAAATACAACCCAAGGACTTCATCATCCATTTCTATTTTAATGGCTTTCATTTATTGAACAATTCTTACATACTTATTAATGTGATTAGCTACGAAGTTTTCTCCTTATATTTGCAATTCATCCACTCGCTTAATCAAGTACATCTTGTTATTCCTAGTTTTCTTGACAAAGAGATCTTCCAAACTTTTTCATAAAGTTTTAGCATTCACTTCTTCTACAACATGATTAGAAATATTATCAACAATGTATTGACCAATAAAAGTACAAACTTGTTCATTCTCAAAATTTCAATCCTCATCTATTTTTATCTCGAGTTTAGACGACGCAAAAACACATATATGCCAACTCTTTACATATAATAGATTTTTTATTTTTTTCTTTCATATGTGATAATTGGTTCCATTCAGAATTATCATTTTAATGTTACTCTCCATATTGTTTAAGCTGAAAATAAGCAATCGAGGCTATAATACCACTTGTTAAATAAAGAAACACAAATAACACGAGTAGAATCTCTTTACCCTTGCTTGAATAATCAAACAAAGGCTACAACCAAATATCTAAGCCAAAATAAATAACTAATAATCTGAAAAATAGAATACCAATCACACAAGGAACACATAAATTTTACATGAAAAACCTTCTCAATTTGAGAAGGAAAAATCACGAGACCGAGTCCGCAATAACTTCCATTATCAACAATAATAGGCAATATAAGAAGTTCTCTCTAAATTAAACTAGAGGAATACATCAACTACAAACATTAAAGGTTACACAACCTTGGCAAACTACATCAATAGATAATACAAAAAGAAAAGAGAAGAAACCAAATTCAAATTTCACCAAAAGACAGTATTGTTATGACATTATATCTTACTCTATATAAATCAAAACCGGATCTTTATCATTCAAAATGCGTGTCTCTCTCTTTTGAACGTTCCCATCAAACTTGTACTTGATTCAACGATTAACAAATCCAAAAACTCAATTTTTTCGTGACTTATCTATGTTGAAATTTTCTTTCTTCTTTTTCTTTAAAGTTATGGCTTTCTCTTATTTTATTTCTTTTCCCTTTATATTTCAAATTACAGGAGAGAGAGGGTTTATTTAAAAATACAAAAATTAACTTTCAAGTGATTAAAAATCCCTTCCTAGGTATATATCCAAAATTAGGGTTAATGTAAATAAATCTTTATATAATTCTTCCATTAGAAGGAAAACCAACAACTAATTCTCGCACATGGCCTAATTCTTCTTGGAAAAGAAACAAGCCTACCAAGTACAACTTTGACCAACCTATCAAGGAGTAAATGATTACGTTGAGGCTTGGAAGTCAAAGACATCTTTGACCACCAATATTAATAGGTTTCCTTGCGTCCTAAGTTTCGTAATCACTAATTAGCATGGATTTTTTGTTTGGCAGGATGTGTCCATAGGACGCTTTTTCTTAATTACAATCATATTGTATTTACTATCAAATAACTTAATTTGTCAAGTACCCATCGTGTCAAGTACCCATCGTATAAAACGTTGAGAGACGACAGTCATTATTATGTCATGGATGATCATAGAAAAAATTATTTGTCTATCTTATTGGAAGAACATCAAAGCAAAATACTCTTTTTAAAATGGTTTATGATTGACAAATGAAAAATCAAAAATCAAAACTATTCTATCTAGCAAGTCACTTTAGAGCATGAGGCCACGTCTGCTATGCCATGTGAAGAGAGAAGGTACGGTGACTATGAAATGGCCTCCATGGGGCCTGTCTTTCAAATCCAACAATAATGTTCGGTTGCAGAATATAATATGCGGCGGCGTGGCGATGACGTAGTATTGTAATTTTCAGAAGCTATGGTGTCTCAATTCAATGGAATGGATGTAACAAGAAGAGGTTTGAAAAAACAAATTAAAAAAAAAAACATGTAGGGCTAATAAGAGTGCTACTTAGATGAGTTTTTGATAGAATATATTTCATTTTAAATAATTAAATCAATAATAAATAATATATAAAGTTAATAAGGGGTCACCTACTAAAAAGATAAAAATAATTATACAATATAAGAATTTTATATGGTTCAACAATGGTGCTGCTCTATGGTTGTGTTAGAATTTTTTATTAAATTTTGTTAAGTGATTGTTGCAGATGTAAGTGATATTACTTCTATTTATAATATGAATAATTATAATTATAAGAAAAAAGACCTCACATGCTTATATATTTGTTCTAATATTCTTTATATATTTTGAGAGCTCCACCCCCGAATCCCTGCTAAGGACACTATCTCCTTGACCTTCGCTTGTTAACCAGCTAGCAAGATTGTCGTTTTGAATTTATATAACGTCTTATATTATGAGTCTTCATCAACATCAATTTTCATAACTTAGCTTGTAGTTATGTGGAGTGAGTAGAACTTTAAAAAAAGAAGCTATAAATATAACAAACATTGTACTCAATGTACAAAAAAAAAATTGGTATTTAATTAACTTTAAAAAAAAATTGTAAAAGATGTAAAGGTTTTTTTACAATTATATATTGTAATATTGGTATTTACAACAAAAGAAAGATGATATTTAATTGCTAATATCGTGCCATTTTATCTTTACCTAAAGAATTAAATTCGAGCTAGATAAAAAGAAAAAAAATTTTTTTTTACTAAACTATTTGAAGTTGTTAGCAAATATTAAATTAAGTAATAATTGTATCTTTCCTTACCAATTTTTGTTTTAAATCCACCAAATCAATATTGATAATGCATTAACAAAAACAAGACATAAATAATAATCCTGTCACAATATCATTATCCATTGTTATGCAGTTCAAACTTTATACTGAATAAAGAATCATTAATTCATTTAGTATACGATTTGTTCAAAAGTAGGAATAAAGAGTTATAAAGAACCACGAGAGGCCATGCGATGAGTCGCAAGTAGGTTGGACTTGAGGGAAATAAAATAAAAAAGAAAGAAAATTAAGCAATTCTATAACGGCGGCTTTCGAGTCAGCAGGCTGACCATACTTCGCACTTCCAATATCCAAACAAAGGACATAGAATTCGAAAATCACAAAACGCCGCAATGTGGACCACATTGTTTCCTCTGTTTAATTCGGAGAAATACTTTTACACGAACGGGATTCGCGTGCATCAAAATTGCAAATAAATTATAAATTAGTCCCTTTAGTTTTTTTTCAAATGAGTTAAATAACTTTTTTTTTAAAAAAACTAATTAATTAATTTTATATTTTTAAATTTATTTATAACTTATTTTTTTTTCATTTTTTCATTTTTTATTTTAAAAAAATATGAAAAAATTATGAGAAAAAAAACGATTTGTTTTTAATTTTTTTAATAAAATAATTCACAAGAAACAATAAAATGTGAACGTTTTTATGTCCAACCAATTACCAGATTGATTCACCTATTGACGTGGAGCGTCTAGTTGACAAATTCATAGAATAAAATGATTGTTTAAAATCCAAACGTGATAACCGAACACCTTAATTTTAGCATCTGTTTTATTTTAGCATTTGCTTATGATTTTAACTATCCTTTAGGGTTGGCTGAAGACTCCTGTGTAAATTCATGTCGTGGCAGATTTTGAAGTCATTCTCAATAATAATATTTGAACTTGAGTATTTTTTCCAATCTTTGTTTTATGTTCACAATAGAAATTTTGTTACGAATGGTTACTTGCCTAGTCTGATGGCAAGTGTTCCAGTTGTAGTAAACGACAGTCCTTAAGGAAAAAATCGGAGGGCTGGGCCCCAAATTATGGGGTGGCGTTGATAACTTTGGAGCAACGAATGGATCACATATTTCAGCATTTAGAAGGCCACTTTAGATTGTAGATTGAATAGATGCCCTGGGATTAGACGTCAATAGAATTTACAAGGACTAAAATATAATTTATATTATTTTTTAATATATCTTTTTATGTAAAGATTTTTTGAACTTGAAATTTGTTTAGATTCATATTATCTTGTGCTTAATTAATTAGAAGAGAAAGTGAGATGGTAGTATTCGAACTTATGACCGTTTGATCATCAAGACTTTGATACCATATCAAAGAATCATTTCGACTAAAATTTTAAGTTTGTTGAATAAGACCTAGGATATGATTTATATTATTTTCTAACATTATGGGTTTTTAAAATTTTTATCTTAGATATAGGTTAATGGTGGATTTAAAAATTTTAGTTTTTAGAACTAATTAAAAACTAAACATGATTTGATGTTAATCTAACTCAAAACGTACTAGATTTAATTTTTGTTGATGTAAAAATTAATTCGAAATACCTCTCTCTCTCTCTCTCTCTCTCTCTCTATATATATATATAAAACTCTTGTCTTGAAAATCTTTGTGGTTTTTTTTTTTTAATCACGGCTGCCCTATTGTTTCAGTTCCATGCTAGTGCTCGCTTGGTGCTGCTATGCTTATCCTTCGACCATGAGCATGGAATGGACACTCTTGTTGTCTTGTTCTTTGATGATGTATTTTTGATGTCTTTCCAGGCTCTACCATGCCCCATGTGCACGTTTCGAGTCTCTCGTTTTGTCATGCTTTGTTTTTTCCTCTCGTTTTGATTCTTAGCAGCTAATAGATGCTTCTTTATGCTTTTGGCACTGCTTGCTCTGTGCCCTTTCGGTGTTTTCTTAATTCAATACAAAAAAGCAAGGTATTTTAAATTTAAACATGATTGCAAGGTCTAAAGCTACCGATGGAGTCTTTGACACTATATTAAAAGATTCCTTAATATTCCCGTAATTTTTTTTTTCCCATCACGGCTGCAATATTGTTTCAGTTTCATGCATGCTAGTGCTCGCTTGGTGCTGCAATACTTATCCTTCTTCCATAAGCATGGAATGGACACTCTTGTTGTCTGGTTCTTTGATGATGTATTTTTGTTGTCTTTCCAGGCTCTACCCTGCATGCTCCATCTGTATCGAGTCTCTGGTTTCATCATGTTTTGTTTTTTCCTCTCGTTTTGATTCTTAGCAGCTAATAGAAGCTCCTTTATCCTATTGGCACTACTTGCTCTTTGCCCTTTCGTGTTTTCTTAATTTCAATACAAAAAAAGCAAGGTATTTTAATTTTAAACATGATTGCAAGGTCTAAATTCTACCAATGGAGTACTCTTTGACAATATATTAAAAATTCCTTAATTATTCTCGTAATTTTATTATTTCAATTACAACTTTTCTTTTTCTTTTTTTGCTATAGATAATATTCTATAGCTCAAATCAGTTGTATATTATCTGTTGTAGGATAAATATGGATAGTTAATAGTTACCAAAAGTTAGTAGAGAATTGTATTATCACGATCGCCTGAGTTAGCTACAATTATAAAAATAAAAGGTTATTCCAACTTCTTTTTATAATATAATGTTTCATTTCTGAGTTTAGCGGAGGCTACACAATAAAACATAATTCTTTATATTAGAAAGAAAAAAATGAGGTTATCAGAAGTTGCAGTGAATCTGCTTCATTCCACCAGCCTTTCTTTTAGTCCAGTATATTTTAAGTGATGAAGTTGACTTGGCAATTGGACTTACCTTGTGGCAGCCACATCACACAACTAATTAATTATGAGATTAGTTAATTTGTTAAGTGGGTTGTTAGAGTCAGTTAGAGTTAGTTTTAACGGTTAGTGGGTAACAAAACCCGTTTTAATTTCTATTAGTTTTGTAGCATATATGTAGATTCTATAGACTGAAATTGAACAGTAGAGCTTTGTAATACTTGACTCATATAATCATTTTTTGATATGGAATAAAAGATGTAGCCAATTTTTCTTTTTTTTCATGGTATCGAAGCAGTTAAGTTATACTTGTTCTTCGTTCTAAAGCTCTCACCGTTGCATCAACGGTGACTCGTCATTGTGATCGTATCTCCTTAGCTTACTTTAAGTAATTACGCCACTTGGAGTCGCTCTTTCTTGCTTGCATTATCAATTTGTAACAAGACTGGTTGCATTGATGGATCGATTGTAACTCTAGATAGGGATGATGCTTTGTTTAATCCATGGCCGAGATGCAACAATTTGATAATTTCTTGGCTACTTAGGTTGATTTCACCTCCAATTGCTGCTACAATCTTTTATATGGATTCAACAACAGAAATTTGGAGAGTATTGAAGAGACGTTTCTCACGAGTGGATGATTCTAATGTGTGCAATTTGCAGCACACATTGAGTTCAATCACTCATGGAAATCGTAGCATTGATGAGTATTTCACCGAGTTGAACTCATTTTGGGAAGAATTAAAGAACTATAGACCATTGCCATATTTTGAATGTATTATGTGCAATGTGGATTGTTTCAAGAAATACATTGATCTTCATCAAAAGGATTGTGTATTTCGATTTCTCAATGGATTAAATGAGTCTTATGCGAGACTCTGTATTGTAATATGATCATGATGAAGCCGTTTCCCTTTCTTGATGAAGTATATAATCCGGTGGTTAGAGAGGAATCTTAGAAACGAGTTAACTATCATCAACCTCTTTTTACGGAATTCTCGGCTATGGCAAGCAGAGGTGTTTTTCGAACAAATTCGGGAATGTTTTTATGTGCACACATTGTGGGAAGTCGAGTCACACTAAGTATAGGTATTTTCATTCGATTGGTTTTCCAAACAATCAAAAATTTGGTAGGGGAAGATCTGTTTCATCATCTACGGTTAATTTAGAGTTTGTTAGCGGAAGAGCTAACTTCTCGAGAGTCAATGCAATGCTTAAACAAACAAATGAAGACATTGCTTCCTTTACTAATAAAGCAGAATGTCAACTTGGCTCTTCTCCGAATACTACTGCAGAAACAAAACCATAGACATTATTCACTCAACATCCAATTCAACATTTGTTAGCTATTCTTAATGAGCAACTGCTTCGACTTCAACTAAGGTTTCATTAAATACTCCTAGTAATGCGAGTACCGAGTCTCCACATCTTTGTTTCACACAATTGTCACATTGCTCAACACACTTTATGAATAACATTATTTGGATTATAGACACGAAGCTTCGGATCATATAATATGTAGCTTAAGTTCTTTTACTTCTTTTCATACCACCGATAACACTTTTGTGATAATGTCAAATGGATCTAAGGTTCTTGCTCCGATACCATGAAAGAAAGAAAAATTGGCTACTTCTTTTAGTCCATATCAAAGAATGATTACATGAGTCAAGTATTACAAAGCTCTACCTATTCAATTTCAATTGATTCACATTGATATATAGTGGTCTTTATTCACAATATGCTCATGATGATTTTTAATATTTCTTAACCATTATTGATAATTTCACTCACATGACTTGGGTTTTCTTGATGAAAGATAAATCCATTGTTAGTTCCATTATTCCTAGCTTCTTCAATCTCATTTACACTCAATTAGGTTTTACTATTAAATAAATTTAGTCAAATAATGGTCTAAAATTCAAATTACTTCAGCTTTGTTCTAAAAAAGAATCCTACATCGGTTATCTTGTGTAGAAACTCCTTAACAAAATAATATTGTTGAAAGAAAACATCAATATTGACTTATTACCATTATAGCTTTACTTTTCTAATCTCATCTCGCCTATTTCTTTTTGAGGAGATGCAATTTTGACAACAATTTACCTAATCAACAAACTACCTTCTTCGGCTTTGCAAAACGAACACCATTTGAACTTCTATTCGGTAAGCCACCTTCTTTTGATCATTTAAAGGTCTTGGGATGTTTGTGTTCTACTTCTACTCTTACTTATGGTAGGAAAAAGTTTGAATCTAGATCTAGATAATACATATTCATTGGTTATCCTAATGGTATGAAAGGTTACAAGCTTTATGATCTAAATTATAATTTTATGTTTGTATCTAGAGATGTTATTTTCCATGAATGTGTTTTTTCCCTTATCCTTTAAGTCTATTCTTTATCCTTAATCATCACATATTTCTTCAAAACATCTAATTTCTATTCCATACTATGAGTTTTGTAGTGATTGTTCGGATATGCGGGATATTCATACACATGACATTACACCTCTTTCTCTAGTTAACCATATTGACCAACTTCGTTTCTTTTGATTTTTTTATCACTCTACCGATGAACATGAACTCATACCATCTTATGTACATTCTTCTTTACCAACCGACAGTATCCTATCCTTAGATATTCTCGTTAGGAAAAGCAACGAACTTGGAAAACCTCTTTCGTATTTTTCCTTATATCATACCAACTTGGTCGCTACATGTAATCCTTCTCTTTTGACTTTTTCAACTCGTTTTCTTCATTCATCATTATATCTCTTCTGTTAGATTATCTTCCTCCCATATAGCTTTTCTTTTAGTTCTCTCTAATCTTGATGAACTATATACTTTTCACCAAGTTGTTAAGATTGCTCGTTGGAAAGATGCTATAAAAGTTGAGCTTGATGCTCTTGAGTTGAATAACACTTGGATAGTTTTTCTCTTCCTCTTGAGCATCATAGTATAGGACTACAAGTGGGTGTACAAAGTTAAACTTTATACGGATGGCTCGATTGACGAGTTTAAAGCTAAGTTAGTGGCTAAGGGCTATAATCAATAGGTCGGTTATTATTTTCGGGAGACTTTTAGCCTAGTGGTTAAGCAAACCATAGTTCGTGTCTTTCTTACTTTGGCAACCTCTCGGGGATGGTTATTATCACAACTTGGATGTCAATAATGCATTCTTCAATGGTGATTTGGAGGAGACGAGTGTATATGGATGTTCTTTTGGGATATCGGGTAAATGGGGAGTACACGAGACCTATTTGTCGACTTCAAAAATTTTTGTATGGCTTGAAGCAAGCATTAAGGCAGAGTGGAATTCTAAACTTACTCAAGCTTTGCTATCCTTTGGATTTATCTAATCAAAGGTAGATTACTCTCTATTTACCAAGAGGCTTACTTCGATATTTTCCATACTTTACTTATCTATTTTGATGACATAGTTAGTGCAAGTAACTTTACCGATGTTATTATAGAATTTATGCAATTGTTATACTCTTAGTTTAAGCTGAAAGCTCTAGGACAATTGAAGTATTTTCTAGGTTTTGAAGTTGCAAGGTCCGAAAAAAGGATTGCTTTGTGCCAAACGAAGTATGTGCTTGATTTGTTAGAAGAATATAGTTTAGTGGGTGCAAAGCCGACTTTTACTCCAGTTAATCCTAGTGAAAAACTTACACAAGCAAATTCTAATTTTCTTGATAATCTCGCTCTATATAGACACCTTGTTGCAAAACTTTTGTATCTTAGCTTCACCAAACCGGATATCTCCTTTGATACTCAAACATTGTCACGAGTATATGGATAAACCAGCTCGGTCTCATCTGCGACTTCGCCTTTAAAGTTTTTAGATACTTAAAGCATTCTCTTAGTAAAGGCTTGTTGTTCCTTTCTTCTACCGACCATAGACCGATAAGCATATAGTGTTAGTGATTGGGTAGGTTGCGGGGACACTAGTAGATCGGTGAATGATTATTTCATTTTTCTTGGTAATTCCTTTGTCGGTTGAAAGTCAAAGAAGCAAGCTGTTGTGGTAAGGAGTTCAGCCAAAGTTGAATACGAGCCATGATCAAAGCATGTTGTGAGGTCATGTGGTTGCTAAGCTTACTTGTAGAGTTAGGTTTGAACATAAGGAGACGAGTTGCACTCAAATGTAACGACTAATCTACTATTTACATTAGCCAAAATCCAACTCGTCCATGAGAGAACCAAACAAATTGAAATGGATTGCCATTTGATCGGAGAGAAGGTTGTTGCTGGAGTTTTCAAGCCGAATACATCTCCTCTACCAACTAAGTAATAGGGATGGCAATGGGGCGGGGTGGGGATCGCCATCCCCATCCCCGCCCCTCCCCCTTAAAAATTCCTTATCCCCGCCTCGTGCTCCGAACGAGACAGAATTTTCCATCCCATCCCCGATCCAAACGGGGATGGGGATCCCCGTTGGCAAACGGGGCCCCATTTTACTTGTTTGTGTTCGCCCCGCCTCGCCCCATTTTGCCTCATTTTGACAGATTTTATAATGAGCACACATAATTTGCATAATTTTATTTTCCAAGTGTCAAGTGACTTACTATAAGTCATTATTGACGAGGCATAATGAGGCGGGGTGGGCAAATCCCATCCCCACCCCATCCCCGTCTAAAAAGATTACGGGGCGGGGCGACCTCGGGTCGGATCATTTTGCCATTCCTACTAAGTAACAAATTTGTTTACGAAGCCACTCCACCCCTCTAAGTTCTAATTCCTTCAAACAAGATGAGCATGATTGACATACATGCTCCTAGGAGAAGTATAAAAAATTGCAGTGAATTTGCTTCATTTCACTAGCCTTTCTTTTAGTCCGGTGTATTTGAAATGATGAAGTTGACGTGGCAATTGGACTTACCACGCGGCAGCAACATCACACAATTAATTAATTATGAGTTAGTTAATTTGTTAAGTGGTTTGTTAGAGTCAGTTCGAGTTAGTTTTAGCAATTAGTGGGTAACAAAACCCATGTTAATTTCTGTTAGTTTTGTAGCCTATATATATGATTCTATGGAGTGAAATTGAATAGTTAGAGCTTTGTAATACTTGACTCATGTAATCATTCTTTGATATGGAATAAAAGAAGTAGCCGATTTTTCTTTGTTTCAGAGGTTGTTATAGAACTTGAATTTTATTTCATTTTATTAAAAAAAACTATTAAGTATACAAGCATTAGACTAAACATATTATTCAGTTGTCCTTGTACTTCAATTTATATAGATAACTTGATAAATGCAAAAAGGTTGATAGGTAATTTTGTATGTGCTATTAAATCAAAGAAATAAAAAAACCTTATCCATCACCGAATTATACATATATTTTGACCGCTTGATTCAATTGCTAAAATAGAAATTTAATTTTTTCACACGAGACAAAATAGTGTTCAAGAATGGAAACAAAATAAACTACAACTGAAATCTTTCATGAAACAAATTGAAAGAATTGATCGATTTAAAAATTTATTGTTTCTAAAAATAAACAGTTTGATGCACTTTGAGTTCTAAGAACAAACTACTTTGTGTGAAGGCATGAAATATAATTACTGATCAAAGAAGATACCTCCTTTTTAATCCCCCAAAAGTAAATGTTAGATTCGGTAGTTGATTCAAAGATGCTGCAATAGAAAATGATTCAAAGATTCTATCGATATATATTTTTCAATCATGAAAACAAGCTGTTAAAAAATGTTTTTGGATCAATGAAAGAGAAGCATTGTATTGGTTCATTGTACCAATCAGACTAAATAGCCGGTTACTTGCCTATCTATAAGTAGCTAGTTTTGTTGGTTATTGGATTTTCTCCGTATTTAAATTTTATATTTTTCGAATTTTTTTATTAAAACTTTTTATTTCTTTTTCTGTTTAATTGAGATCTTTTATTTTTTTATATTTGTTATTTTAAATTTTCTATTATAATGCTATCAAACAAGTAATTAACACATCATATGTATTTTTTAAAATTTCTTACTTTATAATGTCATATGTCGATTACTAATTGATAATTGATAAAAAAACAAAAAATCTAAACTAATAAATTTTGAAAAATAAATGATTTTAATTAAACAAACAAAAATAGAGGGTTTCAATAAAACAAATTAAAAAAAATACAAGATATAAATATGAGAAAAACATTTGGTTACTTAATTCCTTATGCTACAAATCATTATCTTACATAATTTATTTATTAAAAAAATATAAACTACTAAATTTACTAATGAAACTGTTTATTGATGTATATGTGGAATATCTATTCATAACTGATATTCTTTTCGATAAATGAATTCTTTAAAATAATTATATAAAAAATAGCATTACTGTTTGTTTTTTAGTAGTTTCCTATTTGAAGATATGTAAAGTAGATTAGAAGAAATCAATTTAGCAATAGAGACAATGACAGCGTACTGATTGAAGTTGCTTATTCCTAAATTAACGAAAGGACTGAGGAATCAGAGTATACTATTTTCTAAACCGTAAACCCTAAATCCTATCGCACACAATCGTTCTGTATTTCTTACTTTGAGTAAATACTAAATATGTGCCTTATATTTATTTTGCCGTAAAAGAATTTTCAGGTTGTATTTGGTGGATCCAGATGAGAAAATTTGGTATGGAGCATTTAAGATTTTTTTTTTAATGGAAAATAATCTGAGGTGCCAAAAATTCTGTTGTTAATGTGTTAATAAATTTTCAATATCCAAAATCTAAAATTGTTTTATGATATTCTTTCTTTATGACGAAGTATAATGATCTTCTTTCAAAATGTGAGAGTCGCATTCTTAAACATTTAAGAATTAAAATTTTTTTTTCTTTATTATCCTTGTAAAGTGTAGTATTTACCAAAATCTAAAATTGTTTTATGATTTTTTTTTCTTGTGGGATAAGGAATTTTAGTTTTTTTTTTTACCAATTCACATTAATCTACGTGGAGATAGGACTAATAATTTTAGTATACTTTATACCAGAATCTAATTATGATATTATTTCCTTATGGGATAATGTATTTTAGTTTTTTCTACATATTCTTGTTATACATTAGAAATATGACTAATATTGTTCGAAACGAGATCAATGACAAAGTTTAACACTTATTAACAAATGCGACTCTAGAATTAGTATATACTAAAATCTAATTGTTTTATGATATTCTTTCCTTGTGGGATTATGTATTTTAGTTTTCTCTAAATAAGACTAATAATGTTTGTAGAGGAAATGATAAATTTTAACCCCTCCTAACAAATGTGATTTTAAGATTTGAACCTTGCATATTAGTAGAAAATTCATCTGGAGAATAGCTTGCATACTACCGAATTAATAACTTGTTGGTGTGAGATAATGTATTGGTTCTCTTTTAAAATATGAGAGCAAAGGTGAGCATTATTCGGTTAAAATTGAAAAATTGAATTGAATTAGCAATTTTAGTTCGGTTTGGTTAAAAAAAATTTGAAAAAAAAAACCCAAAACCAAAATTATTTTAGTTTGGTTCATTTAAAAAAAAACAAATTCCATCAAAAATTGAATTAATGTTTTTTTTTTTTAACACATACACACCCAAGGCTCCTAGCAAAACTAATTTGTTAGGATTTAAACCTCGTGACCTCTTGCAAGAGATCACTATCCCCAGGTTATAAGCTTTTTGGTACCAAATTAGTTATGGATGAGCATTATTCAAGCTATTCGATCTAAATTTTTGACGGATAGGAGACTATCAAGACTCTAGCGAGTAGCATTTTCTTATGATTTTTTTTGTTAAAACTTTAATTCAAGCTATTAGCATTTCTTAACAATCGAAAAAAATTACAAAAAAGTGGTCTTTCAAATTGATTCAAGAGAAAATTCAAAATTCAGAAGAAAAGATGTAAAAAAAAAAATTGTTCTTTAACCAAAAACTGAACTGAAAAATTCAGTTTTTTAACCGAAAAATCGAATCTCAATTCAATTTGATTTTAGTTTTTATTTTAGTCAATTCGATTAATCAAAAAAAAAAAAAAAAAGAATGATCACCCCTATATGAGAGTCACATTTCTAAACACTTGAGAAAGTGAAAATAGATTTTTTTTTCAATAAATATCCTTATTATTAATATAAAGTGTATTAATACATCATGGTTCTCGCTAACAAATGTCCACACTAGTGATTAATTTAAAGATCACATGTGACAAAATCTTAAAAAAGAAAAAAGAAAAAATCAAAGATACTTGGTAATTATAAAAAAATTCTTATTATCAAGTTAAATTCGTATATTTTTAATAAATTTTTTCTTTTTTTATAAAAAAAATTATATATTTTTTGCTAAAAAGTTAATTTTTTTAGTTGCATTCATTCCAATATCTTCATTTTCAAACTTTTTATATATTCGCTTATATGTATTATTATCTAAACAAAAATATAAATATTTAGATACTACTAGTTTTAAGAATAAAATAGTAATTTTGTTTGAATTTCATAAAAAACATATTAAACACAATAAATACACATTAAACTTCAATCGTCTTGTCCAACATTTATATCGTTAAACTGCACATCCACGTGCCAAACTCCACTTATTCTTGTTGGACTTGCCTCACTAACTTGGGACCCACCTCACTAGTTCTTGTTCAACTAACCTACCTCAAAAATAAATAAATAAATAAATAAAAAATGGCTAATATATAGACCGTACAAGAATGTATGACAATTCAAAGTTATATTAGTTTTCCGCCATTAAGTAAAGGCAATGAATTTGCAACGTTCAATTTCGTTGTTCTTTCCTTAAATGTCTTATCTTTCTTTCCTTCCTTTCCTTGAAGGTCTCTCATTTCCACCTATAAATAGGGATCCGAACACACCGACTTAGACCACCAAAACCGATTATATCACACAAGCTAAAGAAGCCCCTCATGCCTTCCAGTATGTTGCAAGTAGCTGAAGGCCTTGCTTTGCCAGGGGCCAAACATCTTCCAACCACCTACACCGCTCCCATTTCCACTCCAACCATCCCTGAGGTTGAGCTATCTCATGGCTCCATCCCCATAATTGACCTCGAAGCCCTTCATGGTCCTCGCCGGTCCAATATCGTCAAACAACTTGGCCATGCTTGCCAACACCAAGGTTTCTTTGCGGTAGGAGCTTTATAAGAATTTTTTTTTTTTTTTTTTTTTTGAAAATTTTGCAGTTGGAATTTATACTTGATGCTAATTGTGGTAAATGGTACGGTAGTTTTTCCTTGAATGGAATCATTTCGTTGGAAATTAATTAGATATGGCACCATAAGACTCACATCTACAGCTACAAGTCAGTAGCCATGTGGCCGGAACTAGGAAACGGAGAAATTAAGGAACCACACGAGTAAAAACAAGACCCAGTTGCAAACAGACAGCCAAGGTAGCACAGCCAGAGCACAAGTTAATACAGGCTAACTGTCGAACTCCTTGTGAGCATAGTATGGAAAGATAAAACAAGAAACCCGTGACACCATAATAGTACAACTGCAAATAAATCAGGTCAAGGGTCAAACGAGAAAAAAATAATAAAAAAAATTACTAATTGAGCTTTTGCAACGTTGTTTTTGCACTTGTAATTCTCGGGGGTAGACAGATACATTGTTTTAAGCAGTAGTTGTGGTTTGGTGTACTATATTAAATGCTGGGATTCTAGCTAGTTTTCACAATAAATTTTTTGTCTTTTTTATAGGTGAAGAACCATGGAATTCCAAAGAGAACGGTGAACGGCATATTTGACACAACAAGAGAGTTCTTCCATCTTCCGGTGGAAGAAAGAATGAAATTCCACACTCCGGACCCTAACAGTGAAATCAGGCTAATGACTGCTTATAAAGATGAGGTTGAAAATCTCTTCATAGCAAGGGAATCTTTGAAATTCCATTGCCATCCTGTTGAAAATTACGTGAACAAATGGCCAACAAATCCTACTTCCTTCAGGTAAACAAAAACACACGTTATTATTTAAGTCTTTTTTAGACCAAGTCTTTCCGTGCATGAATTTAATTTATTGCACGAATTGGAAGGGAAGATTACAAATTTATCACCATTTAATTAGTATATCTCACTTTCGGATTCCACTGTACGTTCGTGCCTGTTGTTGTAGTTGGACCATCTGGGTCATCTGCAGATCAATGGCATGTGTAAGTCATGAATGGTCTAAGATGTAATAGTCTCAACAAACACGTCTGCTTTGTTATTCATGTCTTTTTTAACCTTTGATTGTTAACAGGAAGAAGGCTGCTGAGTATTTGACCAATGTTAGAAGGGTGGAGTTAACACTACTTGATGCAATATCAGAGAGCTTAGGCCTGGAAAGAGATTATATAGAGAAGAGATTGGGTGGACATTATGTATCTTTGAACTACTATCGAGCTTGTGAACAATCAGATCTAGTGACTACTTTAGGAGTGCGTGGCCATACTGATCCAACTGTAATAACTATTCTATTGCAAGATGATGTGCCTGGACTTCAGGTTCTAAGTGAGGGCAAGTGGATGGATGTTAATCCTATTCCAGACACAGTGGTTGTCCATGTTGGAGATCTGCTGCAGGTGATTTATATTCTATCTATATATGCTATGGTTATAATACTACAATACGCTAAGCCATCAAAAGGACAAAATATATATTTGATCTATGAGTGAAAGGCAGATTCCCTTATAACTACTGACGGTCAAATCAAATCCCTTTTATGGAAACTATAATTAATTGTAGTATTTGATATAGACTTCTACTCTCTCAAATTGGGTTCATGACTTTCTGTATGCTGACTTTTTGTGCAGAAAACAATCACTCCAGCCCTCATATGCATGGAAGCATAATATTTTTTTAAAAAAATGTTGACTCGAATGACGCTATACAGAAATATACTTGATTTTGACAATACTCTGCCCCTGTCGATGTTACAATTCTGAATTCATCCCTCTTTTAGTATGTAGATAAAAATATTGCCATGCTATTACTTGCTCTCCTTGTTGTGATATTTACTTGCTCTTCTTTTATGGTTCTTTTGTATCAGGCAATCAGCAACTACCGATACAAGAGTTTGCTCCATCAAGCTGTTGTGAACAGTGACAAGGAGCGTATGTCCATTGCCTCTTATTGCTATCCATCATCTGATGCTATGATAGGACCTCCTAAGGAGTTGATAGACAACAATAATCCTGCAGTCTATAAAGATTTCACTTATGGAGAATTCTATAAACAGATGTGGAAAGTAATAACTCCAACTGATAAGCGCTTGGACTCGTTCAAGATTTCTGCTCCCTGACCATTTCAGCTTCAATGATGGCATGTACTTGTATAATAAGAAAATACAGAGCAGTTTTGCTGAATAATAACTTTCAGATGTTTTGCTAAATAATAGTGTAAGCCGATTCGCCAAATAGTTGCAAATGATCCCAAATGATCCCAGGGTAGATCAGTCCTGGTAAATTATTTTGTAATGACGGATTCTTTCTCAACCACAATTGAAATTGAAGCCTGTAATTTTAGTTTTGAAATGATGGAGGATTTTCGATGACAATATTTCTCTTGGTACTTTTGTAATTCACTTAATTTGTATCCATCAGATAAATCGTTCTTCATTGACATTGTTGTGTTCGGTTGATTATTGACACCAAACTGTTCAAAGCTTTTGACTGATTGCACATATGGAATAATTTATAAATTAGTCTCTTTAATTTTGCAAAATGAATTAAATAGTCCTTCTAGTTTAAAATATTAATTAATTAGTTCTTTTTGTCCATTTCATGTTTTTTTTTTGTCAATTATTTTGTTTTAAGAAATAGAAAGAAAAAAGAAGTAAATAATATGAAGAGGTTGATAAAAAAAGACAATTTTTTAGAATAAATTAATATTAAATTAAGCATGATAACAATAATCAAGTAACTAATTAATTAGTTTTTTAAAACCTGAGAAATTATGTAATTCAGCCAGACTTTGTATAACATGTAAGAACTCAATCAAAATAATTTAAATAGTATAGGGATGAAGGCTAGTAAAGCCCTTTTTCTTGTCACGAGCTAAATTTCTATTCTTTAGCTGGTGGCTGACTGATACTGACTTCATGTTCCTCCTCTCCTTCATCTTTATGTCTTATTTAGTTTGCTGAGAGTAAAGGGCTAAGTCATGAATAATTACCTAAAAAACTAAAACATCCGGGATAAAGTAACGGTAATTGACTGTTCATTTGAACAGTGAATTACTGTACTGTAGCTTATTTATTTATTTATTTTGGGTGTAATTTTCAATTTGTTTCATTTTGATCCTTAAAATTTTAAAATAAAAATTTTATTCCCCTAACCGATGTAACTGATGCACTACAAATGCCTTTTTTTTTCTTTGCTTTTTGCCATTAATTTATGTTTTTTTATTTAATTGGGTATTAAAATTTTAAAAAATCAATTGTAACTTTTTTCCTCGCAAACTAACAATTATATAATATATCTTTTTATATTTTAAAATTAACATATATTTCAAGCTGATATTACTCTTATTATTTAAATTTCATTATTTGAATTTATCATTTTTTTTTAATGAAAACTCTCATCCAATTAATATTTTTTATATAAAATTTTATTTACTGATATTATATAATTTATTTTTCTCTATGTTTGAATTTTTGAATAAAATTTTAAAACATGATTGTTTTTTTTAAAAAAATAAATTGGTATAATATATATCATGAATTCTTAGAATTTTTAAATGATAGTTGCATATATATATAAATATATAATTATATTATTCTAAAAGCTTAAAAGTGTATTTGAAATAATTTGACTCAGTTTAATAGGTATGGTCAAGACGTGTAAAAAAATTATTGAATCATTGATTTTATTAAAAAGTAACTATACATCTTCCAACATAATATAAATTATTTACTATAAATATTTTTTTTAATATTATAGAACCAATTTATTTGGAATAAAATATTTTTTTAAAGGAACCAATCAATTATTCAAATACTATTTTTTTTAAATAAATATATATAGATCAAATGCATATACTTGAAAAAAAAATCTTCTCATCAACATTAAATAAGAATAAAATTTTATTTTTTTCATTGGTTAATTTTTATACATGTCTATACATTAGATGTAACTTTATTTTTTGGATACATTCTTATAAAAAATATAATTTTAAAATATTTATTTTTGAATTCTTAATTAATATTTTAGGTTTAAATTATTATAAATTTTTTATTTAAGAATCCTTGAACAAAGAAGAATAAATCATGTTTTTTAAGCGAAAATTTTATGAAAAAAACACAAAAAAATAGTAATAATTAACTAAAAAATTATAATATTTTGAAATGATTTTGTTCTATTTAACTGCGTAGATAATTTTAAAAATTAATCTTCTCTTTAGCATTAAATAATATTTTTTTTCATTTGTTAATTTCGTGAAAATCTATCCGTTAATTATAACTTTATTTTTTGAAATACAATTTGCAAAAATTATATTTTTAATTTTTTTTCAATTCTTAATTAATATTTTAGTTAAAATTATTGTAATTTTTAATTTAAAGCAATCCATAAAAAAGAATGATTTATGTTTTTCAAGCGAGAAAATTTATAAAAACATTGAAAAAATTAATTAAATAAAATATTATAGTTAAAAAATTTTAAAATAATTTTTTTTCTATCGACCCGCGGCATAATGCAAGCAACCGACAAGTGGCTAACTACTTTTCCTTGGTCTATGAGAAAATCTAAGCAACTAGGCACCGACCAACCATGATCGATAATCGGGATTTTCTCCAACACACCGATTATGTCAAGACTCAAAAAGTAGATCCGATGTTTGAATCGATATGTCTCCCAACAAAAGGGTCCGACGATTGTTTGAATACGATGCCATGTTAAAAAATAAAAAAACTTAATTTGGCTAAAAAAATTAGAGTTTTAAAATCAAAAAATAATTTAGCATGAATAAAACACTTTAAGAGATGAATTTATGGCTAAACTAGATGTGGTATCTTTCTTAAAAAATGATGCTTTTGGATGATTAAATATCTTCTCAAAAGCATAATAAACTCCTTACTATAGAATCTCCGAACCAGCGCTCATTTTAGGTTCTTAGTTCATTCAACACTAGGTGGCGAATCCAAACTTGTAAATAAATCTATAAATCAACAAATCATATTTTTTAGAGTCCCATCCGATGTCGGATAACGATAGAATGGCGACTTCATCGGGGATTTAAAGTTAGGCCATATGTTTAGTTAGTTAAGTTTATCTTTTGTATTTATTTTTATCCATAATTTTCCAAGCAATTTATTTTCTATCATTTAATTTTGAGTTATTTATTTCTTGTATATATTTTAAATCTTTTCATTTTATGTAATTTATTTTTATTGTATTCATGTACATATTTAATCTTGAATTGAGTTGAATGCTTATCTTGAATTATTGCACACACCACGATGGAAATCAGTAAAAGCTCTAGATCCAAGTTAAACCTTGTTATGATTTAGATGGAGAGATCTTAAGGTAAATATGATGAAAGTCTACTAATGCTCTTTCGGACTCTTGTTTGGATTGAAACTTGCTTTATGCAAAGGAAATAGTGGAATAATATTCTCCTACCTCTTGAAGCATAAGGTTAGAAGCTGGATTACCCTACTCGGTAATTTAAATGATTTAAAAACTTAAAAAGATTTTAGGATTAAACAAGCTTTACCAAAATCATAAAAAAGCTAGTCATGTCCACTTCGGTTGATCCATTAAGACACGGATCATTTTCAAATGATGTCTATCCTAACTTTCATTTTTACTGGATATCATAAAAATAAATCATGCCGGAGAATGTTATCGAGGATTCTAAGGTTAGATTAGAAGAAGCTTAGTTGGATGAGGGAGGCTATCTACCTCAAATCGTATATGAAAAAAAGAAAAGAAAAAAATGGATCCTCAAGCAATGAGTACATCATTACGGATGAGCTCATAACAAGATTAAAAAATCACATAGTTCCTACCGCCTCAAGTCCAGCTCTAGAATTATGAAGGGTAAAATAGTAATTTATTTATATTTTAAATGTTATAAACATTATAATGTAAGTGGTTATTATAAATAATTATTGAAAATAGCTATACTATTTTTATTCTTAAATAAAAAATGACTCTAACTCATATTCAGAATGTGCCAATGGTGTAAATTTCAAAGTCTTCTATATATGCTGGTGTAAGATACACTTATTACTCGAGGTCTAAAAAAATATACTTGATCTAGGATAGATAAGTTTCCCAAATTGCCCCAATTTCGAGATTAAAATCTAATCTAGCTTCGTTCTTAGTGCAAACTCTGTCATGATTTGATGTGTAACAACATAGGAAGGTATCTAACTTGATTCAAATCATGTATGTATTTTTGTTTACATTTGTATTCATTATATATGTTGTTTTGTGAGAATAAAAAATTCAAAGGAAATATAGGCTACACTTAACGAAAGCTCAACTCTCTTCAACATCAAAGATCAAATAAGAAATGAACAACCAATAAAAGGCCCGGAATGAACCATTAAGAGTATATCAATGCCATGAAGGGCAAATTTAGTTTGAGCAAGCGCTGCCCTCCGAGAAAGATACTTCAAGTAGAGGGCAAGTTTGAACAAAAATGCCATCATGTGTTCCTCTACCGATATGATCAAATGCCTTCATGGCCATTGCATACCGATCAAAGGCCATTAAGCTCGATTCTACGAGATTAGTTTCTATAAACACCATAAGAACTCGCATTGAAAGAACATTGGCAAGCCTAGTTTTAGCGATTTTTACGCTATCATGGTCTTGTCCATCACATTGATGACTCTCAATCCCCACCTATTGCTAACCTCACTACAACTAAACAATATCCAACCTACACTACCTAGGACTGCTATGATCGGTTGGTCCTCTCCTGGATTGTTGGCTCACTCTTAAAGGCGAGTCCTCCCTTTTGTGGTTGGCGCACAAACAACATGGGTAGGTTGGCTTAAACTCACTATTGCATATGGTTTTGAGGCCTAAATTCATATCGGTCACCTAAAAAGCAATCTATATTGTCTTGTCTAACGACCATCTAAATCCATTCCTCAATATTTTCAACGAAAGAAGAACATTTATGACTTTCTTCACTCCCTTGGATCACCGAGTACCTAAAGATGACTTGATTTAGGCTTTATTACAAGGTTTCAGCACCTCTTACCAACCTTTTGTTCTCTCCATTGAATCCGGACATAAGGCTATCCTTTATGAGGCCTTGAATGGCTTAGCCTTAAGTGAAGAATTT